CTGAGTCAGCCCCAGGACCCGACTCTTCAGGAGCAGGTGTAACGACTCTGGAGGCCGTGAATCTTGACACCAACGGGGAGCTTGGGCTTGAACCCGTGACATCCACAGCACGACCAATGCCAGTAGATGAGGTTGGCATCTTCAGACCTGTTGATTTAGGAATTATCACAGGCGAACCTGGATTTGAACCTCTGACTTTGCCCCCAATAGCTTCGAAGCGCTGGACCATGTCTGTTATTGAGGTCCGTCGAAGGCCGTGTTTGCGAGGGTTGTCCTCTGGAACAGATAGACTCGTAGGGTTTGACGGCGTGTCCGTCTTTCCATCCGAAGTAGACTTTGACATTGGAAAGGCAAGCATAGACTGCGGCCTCGCGCGAGAGGATGAGACGGGGGTATTGCCAGACGAAGGGGTGTTTGTACTAGATGCCTGCTTTGTATGGGGTAAGGGTCGCCTGGGAGACCGACTTGGTGAACGACGCTGGGAAGCATTGAGCTCTGGGGGCTGTGACTGCATTCGGGGTGATGTAGGCCTCGGCCTAGCCATTGAAGAAATGGCAATTGATCTGCTCTTTTGTAGTTTCACACCAAAGTCCCTGGTCGGATCACTGAATGCAGCAACGGCAGGACTGTGAACGGAATCCTTCGGTCGCTCTTTCGTCTGCACCACACCTCCTCCCCATAGATCAACGAGGTCGTGCACGGAACTTTGCCGGCCCCTTGTCTTTCGTCTTCGCGATGAACCCGTCTTCTCAACTAGTTTCCCCCACCCAGCAGCATCCTCTGGTTCCTGTTCCCCATCGCTTGACGAATCATGAATTTTGGTTGGCTTTGGCGACTCAGAGGTAGGGGCAACTCTCCACCTATCTAAATCATCTTGCGGTGAATGCTTCAATGGCTGCGATATTACCCCCTGGCGAGACTCCAGGTCTGGCTTGAGTGCAAGAGCCGCAATCACCGGCTTAGGCGCGACCACTGGCAACTCTCTAGGTTTCTTCGGTGTCATAGGGGCGCTTTGCTTCCGCTCTCTAACACTGGTACCTCGCGCATGCGTCTTGGACGGCGATGGAGGAGTTTTCATTCGATGGGGAGGCTGTTGAGTGGTGACAGCTTCCTGTGGTGATTGTATGGTTGTTGTGTTCTCCTCAATGAATGATGATCGCTTGTTCGTAAACTCGCGCAGAACGGGCGTAGTAGGGAGGTTTCTAGCTTGAGCCTGAGCGAAAGATTCGTCCTTGACTGGGGAGATGAGGGTATCGACGTCGCCTGTCAACCAGTCTTTGGGTTTGCGTGACACCGGAGCTGGGGTAGTAAAGTCCTGAGTACCAACGTCATCGATAAGCTGTGCCTGAGGTACAGCTTTGACAGCAATACTGCTGCGATGTCTCCTTGAAAGCGAAGGACGGGAGATAGGCCGATATGACAGGGGCTTCGGAGACGACGTGTTTTCATCAATGCCATTATCCGGCCCAGCAGACCTCTGAAATCTGTCCTTCTCCAAATCACGCATCGCCACCCCGGTGACATGCTCGGAGCGCGAACCAAGGGTAGTGCTCGGAATGGCACGGTGAGAGATCGGCTGAAGCGACGAGGAAGGTGCAAAGAAAGGTTCGGACAAATCAACTACTTTTTCGCGCTCCTTGTGACGCTCAGACGACTCGAGCTGCCAGTTTGGATGGCTGACAGGAGGTGCCGACCTACCAAATGTCGCATCAAGCTCTTCTACTGATGGAAATCGTTCCTCGGCAGAAATTTCGCCCCTCTGTGGAAGCGTGGGAGGGGTGGATGCAGGGGGTTGCTTTGGTGGACTAGAACGCCACGAAGCATTCGTAGTTGTCAATTGTGCTGGAGGACGGTGCGAAGGCGTTGGTTTGATCGGGGTTAGGGATGGTTTCGCGGTGGTTAGAGATGGACTAGGAGTGATGGCAGCACGATTGTTTCCATTAACAGTAGCAAGGCCAGTCCTCAGCTTTCGTGCCTCTCCAAGAGTGGGTGTGGGTGCTGAAGATGGTGTTAGACCTAGACCATCGAACGCATCCTTACTCTTCGTGATCATAAGTCTCGTGTTACGCGATCCCTCAGGCGGGGGAGCAAGCTTCGAAATGCGCTCTTTTCCAGAACTTGAGGATGACCCCATTCCTGTCACAGCGGCAGTCTCTCCAGCCTTGGCACCCTCAAAGGCGCTCCACAGCTTTTCTCCGAAATTGTCACCAAATGCAGTAACCCCTGGTGTTGGTGGATCATCCGAGACCGTTTTTGATACACGCGTCTCAACACTCCATGCATCGTCCAAAGGAGGCGCAGATATCTTAGACTTCCAAACACTCGCAGTTACACCGCCTGATTTATGAGCCCTTATGCTCCCAGCAGCGGGAACTGCAGGAGAGCCTTTTATCTCTTTCCGTGCCTTGTCCTCCTCTGCGCCAAATGAGGCGTCAGGCCTTTTCGGCAACTTCGGCGGACTAGGAGGCCGGGAGGTTGGTGAGGGAGGAGTGGTGTCGTTTTGTTGCTGCGAATAATATGGCCTGCCACGGCGCATTGGTGCAATAGCCTCCAACACCCTATCACGCGCTTGAATGCCTGCACCTATGTCCTGGGGCTGAGCTGGCGGAGCTTGTTGCATGGCAGTATCTATTGCTGGCGCTCGACGGTAAGAGACAAGGTCGTCAAGAGCATTCGTGGATGAAGACTGTAAAGCTCGAGGGGAGAGGGGCTGAGGCGGAGGAATATTGTAGGTGAAGCGCGATTTGGTACCTCGTATGGAGTGCACTTGAGCGAGAAGTTCAAATACTGTAGGTCGTTGTGTGCCGTGCTCGCGAAGCATGGAGGCTGCATGGTAACTCAGCATATTCGGACGCGATGGAAGTAAAGAATAACACACCGATCAGCGTGTTCATTTGCGATGAGTAAACGGGATATGGCGGAATGCGGTACTGTACGTTCAAAATTGCCAAGGGTCCATGTTCTTCGAAAGGAGTGGTGTAATAACACAGTTTGTACAATAGCACACCGAGTGCCCAAACGTCAGATTTCTCGTCAACAGAACGGCGAAGGTATGGGTCAACCATCTCAGGCGCCCTGTACTGTAGTGTCGTGTGTCTGTTCAAGTCCGCCTCGAGAGCTCTAACCTCAGCTGTGGTAGATGGCGGTCGAGGCGCGACTGGTGTGGCAGAGCCAAAGTCACAGAGCTTAAAGACGTTGTTGGAGGCCTGGAGAATGTTCTCCACCTTCAGATCACGATGAAGAAGGGCAGGGCGAAGATTATGCATGGCAGCAACACCCTCACAGATGTCTACAAAAATCTGGAGGATCTCTGCTTCTGTGAGACGTTCGCGAAGACGTCTGTTCATCATGTCAATAATTCCACCACCTATGTCTGAATGAGACGATATCAAATGTGTAAATCTTGCAGAAACACTTGCCTGGACAAAACTCCATAAGAATAAAGACTTCGTACATGCCAGTCGCCATTTTGTGCCAGGCAGCATCGATCAGATGCACTACATTTGGGTGCCCCTTTAGTATCCTCTACAGGCAGATTCAGTAAGCACCGAGTAAGCAGCTTGGGTGCTCCGAACCATGATATCGACTTCTTTCTTGACCTCCGCAAGCATAGCCTCATTAGGAACGCCAATGCGTTTGAGAACATGATGCGTCGTGTTATACACGGGAGTGGGAGTCCTGACAAGATAAACATGGGAGAATCCGCCTTTGAACAAGATGTTAATGTTCGACGAGGACGTGGCCGCCACTTGGACTCAACATACCTTGGCTGAGATACCGCTCAACCTGGACCGTGTACTTGTTTACGGAGATGGTTTGACCTGGGACAAGAGTGCCTTTGTTTTGCTGTGCATAAACTTGTAACGCCTGCTGCTGCTGCTGCTGCTGCATGGTGATAATGGGCAGCGATAGAAATGTTAAACTGCTGCTGGTGCAGCTACAGCAGCTGCCAATTGCTAAGACTGTCACGTAGTACTAGTATCACGTCCAAGTTTGTGGAATACTATTTTTGGCAATCTATGCTTATGCAAACAGTGCACAAATACAATTGACGGCCATTGCAGCTCACTCCGAGCCTGAACCGCACGTTCACTTGACATTTACCGTAACTCCGCAGTTGTGTTGCACAGCGAATTCCTTCGTGTAATGGCAACTGTGCTCGCCTCGATTTGCCAAACTGCGATCTTATACTGACCATAAAGATGTAGTGCATATCATTGACGATATATTGGTATGCATTGCCAAATGTCGAGAATCTTTGCCAGCTCGCTCACTTTGTCGTTGGCTATCTGAACTCTTAACATCTTTTTTGATAACTCCTGCAGTGCATGCCGAAGCTTTAACAGATATTACATTAGCAAACGCCCGCGCAGATGAAGTCACCACTGCTGCGCAACAGTTCGCACTGCCAGTTCCATTCCTCGTGCATGATCATGATGACTACACCCATTTACTTCTGGCACTCACTGATATATCGAGTCCAATATTTTCACATTCGTTGATCGTGCTTTGCAATGCACATGTTTTTACACCTGCATTTTCGCCCCGCACCGTGCCAGACGCTAAAGCTAGCGTTCGTACAACTCTATGCCCAATCACTGCTTTTGATAGGAGGGCTACGGAGCGGTTATAAGTCTGACTTTGGTCGCAATATTATACCCATTTTGATCATCGTGCGTGTCTTACGCCTACGCATTGGCAACCGTTGCGGCATTTTCGGGTATTGAATTTACCAGACAGGATGAGTGTAATATCCCCGCGTTGTGTACAACTATGGAACCTACAGTCTAAACTAGACTGTGCTCCAGAATTGTGCAGGTATGGCATATGCACAGTATCTAATATCTGGCAGGGCGGCATCTGGAGACTGGGGCGGCCGCTGCGAAGCGCGGGTATCTGCTAGTGTAACCCGAAACTTGTTCTGTTTTGGTTTAGATCTGTTTGTGAGATGACTGAGTAACATACTTATAACCAATTACATCCACGTGCACAGTGGGAATCGGCGTTCGCGATAACCCTCGATAAATCGATAACGGCCCGTAAAGAACTTCTCGAGCACAACCGCTACCAATATATATACCAGTACTTAGTACACTCTATCTCATAGATACCCAGTTCGAACGCAATGGCGAACAACCTTCTTCAAAGTCCACATGCAAGTGCCGTTCCTTTTTCTCGGCCCCCGACTCCTGGAGTACACCCTCTTCAAGTCGGCTTCTGTGGCCTTGGGTCTATGGGCTACTTCATGGCCCGAAATCTAGCTACCTCCTTTAAATCTCAACTACCGCCTCTCATCGTGTACAACAGAACTGTGGAAAAGTCTCAAAAGCTCCTCGCAGAACTTGGCGCATCCACCGTCAAAGTCGTTAACACTCTCGACCAGCTGGTTACAGAGTGCGATATTATTTTCACTAATCTCGCGAACGACGCCGCAGTAACGAGTGTCTATAACGAGTTTGCGAAGGCTCTTGCCGTACGCCGTAATCATATCTTCTTGCAGGATAAGATAATCATGCTGCTATCATCAGCAATCACCTCCGACCAAGGTCAAAATCTTTGTTGAGATGAGCACGGTAGGCCTGATATCCGCTTCTGATTTTCGTGCTCACTGATGCTGTCAGATTTACCCAGCGTTGGCCGGTGCGTAAAACGCTTTCCCGCCACTAACGAAACCATGAACAAGTCTACTATAGGCGATCTTGATAGACTGTTGTCGAGCTATCCGCATACCCACTTTGTCACTTCACCTATCTTTGGACCTCCCCCAGGGGCAGATAAGGCCACACTTGTGATTGCAATGAGTGGAGACTACCGATCCAAGAAGGAAGTCGCTTTTCTCCTTGTCCCTGCAGTAGGGCCGCAAGGTGATCGACCTCGGAGGAAATGTAGAAAAAGGTAAGAACGTGTAAGAGTGACAGCGAGAAAAGTCTTAAATGGATGGGGTTTTTAGCTCCGACACTGAAGTTGATCGGTAATGGTATGATCATGGGTATGAATGAGCTCCTCGCCGAAACTCTGACGCTCGGAGAAAAGTCTGGCATCGGACAGCAGACTGTATATGATCTGGTTAAGGGTAAACTTTGGAATGCATTCTACTCTATCTCGACGGAGAGCTGATGATGATTGTATTCAGAAATCATGCCGGCACCAGGGTATGTATGCTGTCGATTACATTACTTCGGATTGCTGAAGCTGATGCGTGTCAATAGTTTAGTGGCCTATGGTCACAAGATGGTCAACGACTTGTTTGACGGCTCCATAGGGTTTGCCTTAGATGGTGGAATAAAAGATGCCAAGTTGGTGCCTCGAAGTGCTCGCAATAGATATTTCTTTCTAACATGATTTCAATCCAGTCACATCCGCCGCCTGTCTGCGGAGCTGAACTGCCCGATGCCTGCAGGTATGAACAATTTGACCTTCAGGCATTCAAAAATGCTCATCATTTTATAGTTGATAACGCGCATCGTTCCCTGATCGGCGCCCGGGCGATGCACCAGGCACAAATAGTTGCAGGGACACAGCAGTGGGACGTCTTAGACTGGAGTTCATTGATTGCAAGCAGCCGAGTTGGTGCTGGATTGAATCCATTCGACAGCAAGAAGGTTGGTGCTTGAGTTCTCGGCTCCTTTGATGGTGATAGACTGAAATCGGATCTAGGGAACAGGAGTTACACGAGATGACTGAGGAATGAGGAATGAGCACCAAATCATCTCGGGCATTAAAAGTCAAGGTGTATGTATTCTTCTGACAGAACAACTATAAATTTGTATGAAGGCATGGATGTACCTTCAATAGAGAAATGTAACCCTAGAAGCATCGAAGAAATGAAAAACCGCTCTTCATCAGTTGGTCATGGGACTAGAAATACCTGCAGGTGTGCAATTTATGTTCATTCGGGACTACACCTCCAGACCAGGCAGACGACAAAGCCATACATTCATCTTCACTCAGGGAAAGAGTGTGTCTGCTGTGCCAGGGGTTCCGTTCAATTCATTCAAGTAAACCTGGACGAATGCAGCGGTTCGACTCGACCGATCAAGATGTCCGCCTTATCAGCTGCAGGCATGCTCTATGCAAACAAGAACAGCTACTTAAACGAATATTTACTACATCAGGTAACCGTCAAAAAAGTTGGTTCTTGCGCTCTCGCGCATAATAACCACAGCTGGCCTAACACTTTAGAAGTGAATAGTGAAACCGGATCCCGCCATAACATGTACGATACGAGAGCGGCGGGAAAGATAGGCAACAAGAAAATAACAGCCCGGATGAGACGAATAGGGGTATCATCTTCGACATCAAAAGGTAAGTCGTTCAGTTATGTTTTGGTGTGGTAGATACTCTGCTCATGCATATGAGTGGGGCAGTCTTGATATGTCGGATGTTGCGGCACACGCCAAATTAATGCTTCAAATGGCCTCTAAATTTGCACCGGACTCTCATAATAGACCTTCATGCCACATGGACTTGGTGTAGGTAAAATCGGTATATCTCGTCCTTCTAACATCCTTGCTTTGACCTCATTCAGAATTCAAGTACCTCAACACACCTATCCAACTTTATTACGCCTGCAAGACTTGACGTACTCTTGCTCTTTCTTGTTCCTTTCCGAAGTCCCCTATATATCCGTAGTACCTGATAGCCAGCCAATCAACTTCGTTCCTAATTCACGTGGGAATGCAGCGTTTCCGATAACTCTCGAGTCGAAGCCGTATCCAAATGCTCTTGACGAGTACAACTTGACTTGCTAATATATCGGTGTTTACTTGCTCTTTTTCTCATAGATACCCCCGGGCCCCAGCTCGAACGCAATGGCGAGTAACCTTCTTCAAACTCCAGCCTTGCATGCAGGCACCATCCCCTTTTCTCGGCCCCCGACTCCTGGAGTACACCCTCTTCAAATCGGCTTCTGTGGTCTTGGAGCCATGGGCTATCTCATGGCCCGAAATCTGGCTAACTCCTTTAATTCTCAACCGCCTCTCATCGTGTACAACAGGACTGTGGAAAAGTCTCAGAAGCTCCTCGCAGAACTTGGCGCATCCGCCATCAAAGTCGCTGATACTCTCGACCAGCTGGCTACGGAGTGCGATGTCATCTTCACCTGTCTCGCGAATGATGCTGTGGTAATCAGTGTCTATAACGAGTTTGCGAAGGCTCTTGCCGTACGCCGCAATCATATCTTCTTGTAGGGTAAGATAATCATGCTGTCATTATCAGCAATCACCCCCAACCAAGGCCAAGATCTTTGTTGAAATGGGCACGGTAAGCCTGATATCTGCTTCTGGGCTTCATGCTTACCGAATGTCAGAATTATCCTGCGCTAGCTGGTGCGTGAAAAGTTTCTTGTTACTAACGCAACTGTGAACACGTCTGTTATAGGTGATCTTGATAGGATGCTGTCGAGCTTTCCTCATACCCACTTTATCACTTCACCTATCTTTGGGGCTCCCCCGGCGGCAGATAAGGCCACACTTGTTATTGCTATGAGCGGAGACTACCGGTCGAAGAAGGAAGTCGCCTTTCTCCTTGTCCCTGCAGTGGGTCGCAAGGTGATCGACCTCGGAGAGAATGTAGAAAAAGGTAAGAACGTATAAGAGCGTGATGAGCAAACCTATGAGTCTGAAATGGTATGGGCTTTAGCTTCGACATTGAAGTTGATCGGTAATGGTAATCTCGCCGCTATCCTGGAGCTTCTTGGTGAAACCCTGACACTCGGAGAAAAATCTGGCATTGGGCAGCAGACTGTATACGATCTGATCACAGGTGAACTTTTGCCGGTTTCTGCCGTACTATAATGGGAAGCTGATGATTCGCATTCAGAAATCATGCCAGCACCAGCGTATGCGTGCTGTCAATTACTTCACTTCGAATTACTAATGTCCAAACAGGATAATATCATATGGCAAGAAGATGATCAACGACTCGTTCGATGGTTCCATAGGCTTTTCTATGGATGGCGGAATTAAAGATTCTTCGTTAGTGCCTCGGGGGTGTTCACAACGAACAGTCCTTTCTGACACAGTTTTTCATTCAGTCACGTCCTTCGCCTGTCCGCGGAGCTGAATTGCCCGATGCCCGCAGGTATGTCGACGATCCGACCTTGGGTTGTTACGAGATACTCATTCATTTATAGTTAGCAACGCACATCGGAGCATGATTACTACTCGGGCCATACACCAAGCACAAGTTGTCTCGGGGACACAGCAGTGGGACATCATAGACGAGAGCGCATTGATTGCGAGCAGCCGAGTTGCGGCTGGATTGGATCCATTCAACAGCAAGAAGGTTTGTGCTTGAGTTCTCGACTTCTTGACACCAGCCTGAAGCCAAGTTCAGGGAACAGCAGTTGTACGAGAAGAATAAGATCTAGAAGTGAGCAATGTCATAGCACTGTAGCGCCAAATCATTTTTATTCATCTGTGTGTCAAGTAAATGTACCTTCAAATAGAGACACCCTTGCATTTATTGTTGTCAAAGGAAATATTGTATAACAGCTTATGTGGGTAACGCCAAGTCAAACGCTGCTTGCCAGGCCTCTGTGCATGTGACATTGTTACTCCTGAATGGAATAAAACTTTGGCGACAAAAAAGGTGAACCCCAGGCAAGTACCTCTTGACAGTTTCACCGAGCCTGCGGCTCAGTGGACATGACCGGCCTTTGTCGTTGTTCGAGGCAGGCAAAGTCGAGTTTAGCTCACTTACGAGCAGGTTCTCCTAGCTCGCTAGCTCGTTAATTCCTCATATTCTCTGCAGGAGATTCTTCGATGTGTGTTGAGTCTGACGTTGATTTAACCGAACACCGTTTTCTAGCGGCTCCTGTTGCCCTTCGGCCGACTTTATTCCACTCTAACTCCCACTCGTCGAGCATGGCGAGGTAGATAGCCGCGATAGCAGAGGGATCTTCGCCTGTGCTAAAGGGTGAACTTTCTTTGATGATGCCAGAGATTATCTTCCCTATGTCTTGTTGGCGTAGATGGGCTCCATCAGAGTTGGTCTCAACTGAAGTCCTCTGCGTTTTGGGTCCCCCCGTGATGATGATTGCATTGCATTGATGCTTGAGTTTCCAAGATCTGACTGGAAGTACGAGCAATGCGAGAATTCAATTCAATTTTGTAACGAAAGCAAAGGACAGGTGTGCGACAAGACTTGTATCCAAATTGAAAAAGTTATTGAATAAGCAGGTATACGCTTTGGGTGTACCGTAAGGTTAGGGTTAGAACTAATAAAAGTCGAAAAAAAGACGGCCTGCTTAGCCAGAGTGGCCGTAGCAGGACTGGAAAATATTGAGACGGTGCATGAGCCGGAGCTCATACAAACCGTAGATACCCTCTGTATGGACAGGGTCGCCGTGCTATGAAGGGTCCCCACGGCCCACAAACCCAGGTACATGAAGGAGCCTATGCCATCAAGGTAAGTATGAGTTGTTACAGTATCAACACCCAGCTTATATACATCACAGAAACGCGCACGGACCACCCAATATTTGTTATGACTACATTTGGAATGCCATTTCCGGCGTGGTCTGATCTTCGACATTTCTATCCGCTTTCTGTTCGGCACTAAATAACTAACGGACGGGCATTAATCGTGAGGCTGTTCTAACGTATAGCGAGAATTAGGTCCATGAAGGGAACTCCGTCGTTATTATCAGGCCGACTTTGTCAATGTGATAAATGAAGCTGCGACTATGCCAGCATATATTTGAGATCCCATGACGGAGATTATACAAACGACTTTCAAGCGGGTTCTATAGAAAAATGCTGTCGGGCAAGTACTAGTACTCTCCGATGGGCCGCATCCAGAAAAGTGGTGCGGTGAAGTCAAGGAAATTAAATGAGTGTCCTAATCTCAATAAGTACGATCGCGAGTGTTACCTCGGAAGCAGACTCGGATATTCTAAGGAATGACTATTTTGAAACTGAATCTACTACCTACAGGAGACTAGTAGGTGAACACAGTTGGATACGAGATGAGCGTTTAGAGTCTCTAGCGCGAAGGTCGCGCTGTGACGATCCTCTCCATTAATGCCTTCCACTTGTGGCGGCTCAGGTCCTTGTCTCAGGAAGACAGAAACGACATACCACATCCAAGGCTCTTTCATCCTGTTCACCATCCACACTATGTGCCTCGTTGCCTCTGTCTCATTCGAACGGTGCCCAGAACTTACTAGAAGGTTACGACTTGACCATCCTACTAGTATGTGTTGCGGAAGAGAAGAATATCTCAATGGACGCTTCGTAGCCTGAGACAGGCACGAACCTAGGCCTAGGGCCCTAGGCACCCGGGCACGAAGACTTAGACTGTCACTACTTAGCTCACATGATCTTCAGATTTTCACTAATCCGGGTAGTCGAACGTTAGCACTGACTCAAGTACGTGCTAGCTGAGTGGTTGATTGTTCTACTCACTAATCTCACCACCACACCTTTCCAGTATTTCCCTCGCGCCCCACTAGGGCACCGCGCTCAGTCACATGTAAGTTTTTATTGGTACGGAAGTTGACCCTAATCTTATCGACTCCCAGATCGAGTGCACTAAGGGACGAAATATTCTAGAAACAGTGGGTATCACTTCCAAAGCTTACCAGGTATCTCGTGACTTCTGCACCATTCCTTGAAGCGCTGATCCTTTCCGCGTAGAATTGTTGTGGATTTCGTATTTTCTGTCAACAATCCCTGAGGAATCGAGAGGACGTTTGGCGTCTCCAGAAAATGTTTTGATATTCCACGGTCATCATGTTAACACCATGACGAGGCAAGTTGTTGTGCGATCGCGCTGAACGATATGACGATACTGACGTGTCGCTGCCGTGAACTACCTAGATCATTGATACAACTATTTTGCCTACGTAAACGCACAGGTTGGCTTCTGCGTATTTGTCCTCTCGACAGTGTTTAACCTTTTCCAGAGCACCAGAAGCTTCAGAAGTACAGGAGCGCTCTTCCTTACGAGCTCGTGGAGAAGATTCTTGTAAATGCGTGGTGTTCCATTGGCGACGCTCCTTCTAGATGGCATTTCTTTCGCGTCATTGCAATCTTGTCCAAGGTATGGCGTGATGTGCTCCACGAAGTAGTGTTGCGCTATGCCTTCATCGAGACGATGGTCGATTTCATCGCATATGAGAGACTCCTCTTACGCTATGACCCATGCGCTCGATATGTCTCTATCGTGCTAAACGCTGTGGATCACACACGATTTCGCGTTGATGAAATTGCAAAGTATGTCCCAGAGGCGCGATTCATGTGTCTTGCGATCACAATGGATAGGCGATACTATTTCGACGCGATCCTCCAAAATCTCCTCGCAAAGACCGAGTCCCTCACGCACCTCCGTATTTGTTGGCCTCCCCTTCGTGATTCTTTTGCATGCCCCCTTTCTAGCGTCGTCATTAGCTCAGTGACGCATTTACATATTGCGCGTCATCCGCCAGCGTCACTTGGTTCTATCCTTGCGTCTTTCCCGAACGTGACTCACTTTCGCTTGGGCACACCGTGTTTCCTGAAGAACCTTGTCCCGTATATGTCTACAGTTCGAGTTCTTATCCTCGATGCTCCACCGCAGTACATCATGCATACAGTCTCTCAAGCTCCGGCTCTTGTATTTCCAAGTTCGGTCCCGCTTTGGAATATTTGCGATGCACTTGAGCATGGCTTGCTGAAGTCTACCGCCAGCTACCCAGGCCGGATCATCATGAATGCCGGAAAGTTCGACGCAGATAAGTCCATGATTGCAGATATCGCTCTGAGCTGTCAGAAGCATGGGGTGGCCTTTGAATGTAGACGAAGATATCCGCCATTATGGCAGCCTAGTCATTTGGACCCCAGGCGTTGGGATCATGACGCATGGAGTTAACTGCATATAGCTACTCAAGTAGCAACAGTGGTTTTGTGATGCTAGCTATGCTATAAAAGCTATCATCAAAATCTCAAGGCCCTTCGGTACTTGATGAAGGCAATCAAATTGTCTCGTATCTCCTCTCCTCTCAGTTTCAAATCTCGCTCCTTCCGCCTATCGATTGCCCGCACGGCTTTACGCACCCCCTCAACGCTATCTACAAGACGCTGCACGAAGTTGCCTTGCCGGAAATTGACATCGTATGGGAGATTCTCGTCGGAATAGATGTCGATGAGTGCCGACAGTGTTTGGATCAGTGGCTCGGTGCCATACGTCGAAGGTGCCGTGGACGTTGGGAGGATGGAAAGCAAGTGCATCGCAATAACCTAGTCCTGTATTTAATTTCGAGAAAAGTCGGAGAACATGCGACTCACGCGATTGGCATCAATAGATTGTGGATGCTGCGCCAAGCACTCAAGCGTGCCGATGCATTTTACGCGGATAGCAGGATCAGTGCTCGAGTTGCAGAGCTGAATCAATAAATGGACTTGATCTTCGTTGGGCACCTGACGGCAACCTCTCAACGCCAGAACTTTTTGCCGATGAGAAGACTTACCAAGCTTCCCTTCCAGATATTACCAACACCCCAGAGCACACCCACTCCGATCTCCCACATTTCCTGTTTACGTTCTTGGCCGCGTGTGATTTCCGTGCCTACACTCCCAAGTGCTGCCCAAACGCCGTCCCATATCTGTTTTCCACTCGTGGACGCTGCGGCTAATCCAGAGCTTGGAGACGCGCTCAACGACAGAAATATATTATTCAAGCACTCAAGCGCGCTAACGTGAATCGCGCTCAGTACGGATGTTGTCGGTGGGTGCGAAGATTGTCCGGCTGCAGGAGGAAATGACAGCCTGACGGGTTGGATAAGGGTAATGAGAGGTTCTACGAGCGCAGGCAGATGACTTGCGGTTGTTATGCCATTGGTGATCGGTATATCGTCGAGGGCCATGCCATCGGTCACATCCTCTTCTATCACACCGTCATTGTCTATTCTGAATGTCAAATAGTCACCTCCATTTATGTAAACAAGATCTTACCTTCATCTTCTTCTGCATCTGGTTCGCCTTCCTGCAACTCAGGGATGGGCTCAGGGTCAGGTAATGTTGCACACGCGCCGGTCAAAATTTCTAGTGCGAGCTGGACGGTGCGTAATTTGTTCTCCAGACGGTCGAGTTCGACCTCAGTATCAGACCTATGATCTGACTTTGGAGCATTTTTGAGAGATAATTTTTCGATCTGAGGAGGTTCCAGTGCCTTCACACCGCATCAATAAACACCACCGACTAACTACTAAGATTAACAACTCACTAATTTTACTACGAGACTCTCAGCCAGCTCTGATGACTCAGTGAGAGACACAGAAGCCACCACTGGCTGAAGCAGTGGAAGTACGATCTCCTTGCCAACATCGACTCCTGATGCGGCACTAGGGGGAGAGAAGGGTGAAACGTTGCTCAAAATACCTAATTATAATCAGTTAATTTATTTCACAAAAGAAAGTCCCTTACCACTTGATAACACTTTCAACGTGGTTATTCTATCCCAAATTATCTTCTTATCCTTTACACCGTCTTCGTCGTGTACAATTTCGAGTAAACACGTGCTGTACGCCGCATTTGACCGAAGCTCATCTATTGCTGGCTGATTGTCATCCGTTAGGACGTACATGCATTGTGCTGAGAACCGCAGTAAGTCCTAAAAGTAGATGTTGAAAGCAGAAATATCTGCGAACCTGCGGCAGTAACAGTAGCTATGGGTAATTTTGCTCGAGCCGCCAGGAAGGACATCAAAAAAGGAACAAGGTTAATTTGGTTGATCGCATTTAGAGCCTTGTTGGATGTCTCCCTGGCCATATCTTCAGCGCTGATACGATACGATTAGAAATGGATGCACCTACGAAAGACACCAGAGTATAGTATTCACATTTTCGGTAAATTCATATACTACTTTTTGCGCGTTCTCTGGAGCCGTCTTGGGTGACTCTAGGAACTGTGAGAGTGCGCTCGATATCTGGGAAGAATACATCTCGGTCTCACACCATCCATTCACATGCATGTTAAACATACCTTCGGCACAAATGCTTTGAGGGGAGCCAGTATATTTTTATTGTACATTTCTGCGCATATATCGTACCCTCCATCAATGCACAGATTTCTGAGAGGCACGAGAATGTAAGATAAAGAAATTGATCGAGGCTGGAGATCCACACCTTAGTGCCCCAGCAGCTTCGATCCAGACTTCCTCTTCGCTATCAGATAGACGCGTAATAAGCGCACCAACTACATTTTTTCCTTGCAACAACCGTCGCGTAGATGGATCGTTTTGTATGAGGTTGGATACTGCGACGCATGCCCACTTGCGTTCAGAAGCGTCCGGATTCTCTAACTACAGTGCCAATGAATTCCCGTACATGGATCTTGCCATACGACGCACCTTTTGGATGATAGGCAATACAGCTTCATTTTTTGGGGAGGATGAAGCTGCTGATTCTAGACCTTTGGGAAGATGTGAATCTGGCACCCGCATGGGATTGTGCCGACGCATGGACCGTTTCTTCTGCGACTTCCCCATTTCCGAGTATACTGGAGATTGAATATAGGCGACTGATGGTCCCGATCTGAAGCCTAAGAGCCAAGATAGTGAATCTAAGGCAGAGCTCAGAGGGATGGTGATCGAGGAACCAACGTGAAATGTGACTGCTGTTTTTGGTCACTTTAGGACTACCTCACACTTCATATGCATAACTACTGGAAACCGCCAAGGAGCAATAATATTACGGGATGATGCTCCTGAAGTAGTGGACAACTAAAAAAATATCAATGTCGAACACCAACAAGGAACAGCACGCGCGAAGCAGTGCAAACTCAAGCTTTAATTCGTTTGATAAGTATAAATTATAATGCAACAAGCACTTTACAACAACATTGTAATGCGCAGATCGGTCTATGTCCATGAAGACAGGGTGACAATTAGGGATATAGTACAATACAGTAGACGAACGTTCCAATTGTCCGCAAAAATGTGGACCAAAAGCCCATAACTAGCGTTGGTATATCGGAAGTACGCTGTACATGATAACAAGCTCTTCAGGTGGAGCGGAAGCCTGAGAACCAAATGCAGATGACGAGGGCTGAGAAGGGGATGGTGCAATGTGGGTGTCGCAATCATCACTATAAACTTCCGATGCTTCGGGAGCACTGGCTTGCCAATCGTCAAACGATTTGTCATGCTCCGATATTGGAGGAGCCGAAGCTGTCAGGGTGTCCTCAAAGGGAATAGCGTTGGGCCGGGCCTCGTACGGGGGCATAGAAGGCAATAATATAGGATCTAGGGCGGTGATATCTTGCACATAGCTGTGCCCATCAAAGTATCTTGGAGACAAAACACTTTTCGAGGGCGGATTTGGGAAACCCGAGTCCCCGACCTCAAATAGAGAAATTTCGGAGGGTGAGATAGCGACTGGTTGGGAAAGGTGGTCTTCAAAATCATCATGCCATTCTGGGGCAGACTCATGGATCTGCGAGGGACTCCCGCGAGTGTCATCCTGAATTACGGGAGGCGCGCTAGCCAACTCCGACATACGGGCGAGATGAGTCTTATCATCAATGGCGACGTGCCCAGCACAGCTAGGCTGGTAAGGAATATCATCATGGTCTGCGGGTGAAAAGTCATGACCGAAGAGCAGTGACCCTCGGCGTGATGCGGGGTCACCCGAAGACTCCTGAGAATGACCTTCGATCTCAGGACGCACATGCAGTGCAGGGAATATGTAAGCGGGGGGAGACGAAACGGAGCATGGACTAGATGGGTCGGGTGATATAGAAGGTGGTTGTGCGGGATAGGAAGAATTCTCATTGGAAGCAGCGTGGTAATCCACATCTTTGGAGACAGATGCTATTGAATGTCGTCGTGATGAGACTGGGGAGGGGTGGGTAGACGCTTCGTGAGGATCCAATAATGCAGGAGATGGTGGTCGACTTCTGGTAGACAAGCCCTGACGTCGCCTGCGTCGACGAGCAGAATGTCGTATGTTAGCCTTCCACCGAGCGCTTGCCCTCGCCCACAAACGATTCTTTCCGCGAGCCTCGATCTCCCTTTCACCATCCTCTGATAGGTCTTCCGGGTTCGCCTTATGTCGAGCTTTCAGTTCCAAGTCATTATTTTTCTTTTCTCTATTCGATGCTTTCTTCCGTCTCTTTCTCCAAACGATGCAACTTATAATGAACATGCAAATTGAGACTGCCAAGACTATGGCTAGTGAGAGGATGATGATGGATGCGGTACGATTGGTTTGGGATGTTGTGGACCAACCCGCGGGAAGGACAGAGTCCATTTGGGTGGAAGCGGTTGGAACAAAAACCGAGGTAGACTGTGAAACATCAACTGTGAGGTCCGAAGACGAATCATAGAACTAGATAAAGATATTAGCGCATGGAAGATGACAAAGAGAGTGAACGAACTGTTGAGCCATACAAAGTCCAGCCAGATGCCTTGCGCCAGCGGCCGTCAAGCCCTTGAACGTATTTGTCTGCCACTTGTTGTGTGAATTTAGCTGTAGCCGTAGGAAATGTGGAAGAGCTGCTATAGGATGTTGTAGGGGTTGTGTTATGGACGCAAGTATTGAAATGATCTATAGACGGACATAAGAAAGATGGAGGTGGAGTCGGTGATGGGAGAGGGCTTCCGTCTGCTGTTTGCGAGCTAGCAGCGATAGTTGCAAGAATTGATAAGACGGATGATGAAGGACAAGCTATAACAGCTGGTGAATGTCTACGTTGTTGATGATCTGGTCTTGAACCGGCCTGGCCATGAATTTGCTTGGCCATGATACGAGTGCCAAGAGAGTCTTGCCGCTTCAGCGTGGCAGGAACTCGGTAATTTGTCGTCAAAATCGTTATAGTCAATATTCGACTATAAAAATGAGTTTAGTCAACGGGCAAAAAAAGAGGATCAAAACCTCTGAACAAGGCTGAAACTTTTGAGAGAGAATAAATCTACAACAGACTTCGCAGGTTGGCTGAGGAGAAAAGCGGGGACTAACTCGTGGGCACCATATCCAGCTTAAGTAATAAATAAATAAATAACTAAGAGCAGTCCAGTATTACTCGGTTGCTCAATAAGGAATTCTTTTCTTACATGTCTATAATATAAATCACATACCAAAAAATAACATTGCTATTTCTATATCAGTTATTTAAGCTCAACATTAGCATTTGCTAACCATCGGCTTCGTTTCCGCTCTTCCTCTCGAACTTTTGCTCTTTCCCTAAGCTCCTTCTCCTCATCTCTGCTTCTCGGTCGCACGTACAAATCTTCAGCGCTCGATTCATAGAACATCTTGTACGTGCCTAGGCTCACCCGGATGCTCATAGAATCCCAACTTGATGTGCCTCGCTGTGATTCGTCGATCGTCATGTGCCTATTTGTACAAAATCGCATTCAGTATCACAAATCACATTTACATAAGTCGATCGTCCCTTCCACTAACCTTCGCAAAAATACCTTACTTTCACGCTTTGATTGTGACAACCACTCCGTCGGCTGCCGTAGAATATATGAGTCGAGATATTCTCGCCACCGACTAATCGCCGTTCCATCTCCATTCACACTAGGATCGTCCGGTTCGACCAGTTGAACGAACATTGTTTTCGAAGACCGATGCTGGAATTACTTCATGTCAGGGTCACAAATAATCCCAAAATTAAATCTCTCATACCCAATCGAACCTGTACAAATGCTCGTCGGTACCAACGTGACGTTCCGCCTCACGTCGATAGCGAATCATGTTCTGATTGGAAAGGGCATCCACCTTCCGCGTTTGTTGAAGTAACACCCAAAGCTCCTGACACTTGTTATCCGACAACAGAATCTGCACCTGTTAAAGGAAAACCCCATTCAGCTAAACTTGAAAGCGCAGTCACGAAGCCTAACAGCACAGCGTTATATTTACCTGCTTGATCAATGAAGACAGTATCTTGTCTAACGTGAAAAGGTAATATGCCTGGAGCATGCGCCGGGTCAGGTAGCGGCCCCGGAGATGAACGCACGACTTACCTTGTTGCCGAAAAACCATCGCATATGTTCCTCAAATGTCGCCTGGTCAAGTTCATTATCAAATAGCTTTTCAAATGCCTCCAACATGTAAAGGTATACGACATCAGTCGCGTCACAGGTCTGACGGTTGGACACAGCCTCCATCGCCTGTACGAGTATAGCAGAGGGTCCATTCGGATCATCCAGCCCTAACTCGATGGCGATAGGATTGCAATCCGCAGGATTTAAACCTTTTGCAGTCTGACGAGCGCCCTGTTCCTTACATACGAGCAGACGAGAATAGATCAACTGTGTGCGATAAAATTAGCTCACATCACGCGTATACACTGTGGGACCTGACCTGTAGCAAACAGAACACTGTGTAGAACGTTGTGTTCCCGAAAAAAGGTTTTCGCCTAGAGGTGCCGTCTCCTGAAATAGGAGGGGTTTGATTGGCTGACGCATCACGGATCCACTGATCCGGGGATTTATTTTGGGCTGCAGTCAACCCTATGCTTGTGTTGTCCTCCAGGGTGGTATCAAATAATACACGCTCAGAATGGGGCGTGGTCCCTCTTGACTGGGATAACGAAAATGTATCCAGGCCCTCAGATCCGATGGAATTTTCTTGAAAGGATTTCAGTAAACGCTTCCGAAGGTCACCCGCCGCCATTACGCTCCCCGAAAGGCCACGCCCACTCGTAAACGGGACTCCGTTATCATTCCGCGCGCCATCTAAAGCTTGTTGGTCGGTCTCCTCGTCTCGTGGATCATCCAAAGGCGTAAACCCGGCATTGAACTCGGTAGCAGGGCACATACATAGGAGGGGAATGAATGATCGCAGCCAACCCTCGACTCCACGCCGTTCCTGTAGTGTATAGTGCGCATGGGAATGATCCAGGAATGAGTAAACCAACTTAAGCGAGTCTTGAAGGACAGTCATGTCCTTGAAAGAAAACTCCAGTTGGTAGCCTGGCACAGCAGTACCGAATGAGGGTGGACCCTGCTGCGCGCGCGCATCTGCTTGCTCAGCTTTGACTGACTCAATATTTCCTACAAAATGTTTGGCAGTGACGACCTTCTTATCATTCGACTTGAACGTGACCCCTTGATGATCGAGGGATTTATAGAAATTTTTGGCGTCAACCTCTCGCCACGTTTTGTTCCATTCTCGTTGCACGCGTCGCCATTCTTCATCTTTCTGCTTTAGCCGAGCGAGGACCACCGGCACAGCGACGCTAGGACACTCCTGAAGAGCTTGGATAACCTCGATTCCAGCATCTCTGCCATAGACTTTCTTCAGCGTCCGGTGGTATATGTTCTTGCTCAAGCCACCAAAGTCAGGCTTGAGTCGGAAATTCGAGCGTTCATCATTGGTCATTTCTTCGATGCGGAAGTTGATGGGCTCTATAACAGCGATCGTGCGTGCAAGGGCTTCAAGTTGGACGTGATATTCGTGTCGTTCTTCTTCGCTCTTGTGCAGTGCTTCTTCAAACGAATTCTTCTTGTGCGCGATAAAGCCTGCTTCTTCAGACGCCCATGTCGGATGTGAAACCCATTCGTCATTAAGTACAGAGCGACAGAGTTCATCGCGACCGGAACACGCCAAATGAACTTCCTGCAAACAAGGGCGCTTCAGTCAGTTGGCTAGAAAACAGTTATTCGATACGTACGCTCTCGGGTAATCGACGATAGCTTGGACCCTCACCATCCTCAGCTGGTAATGCAGACAAGGCTTCTGGCGGCCCGGTACGGATGCTCCCAGGCGGACCATGTTCGATACTGTCCTGCCGTTCATCGATCCCAACCACTTCCCGAAACTGCGAGAGTAGATCACCATCGCCCAAATACACTTGAGCCATGTTCACAAGTGTCTTCGCATCAATAATGTCCTTGGAGTACATGTTCAAGAGTTTGAGAAACTCCTCATATGTATCCTTGCTCTCCAACGTGCGCTTCGCGCGCTCAAAAAAGATGAGTTCATCAGGTGCTGATTGAACGTTGGTAACTGGCTGGGGGCCTTGTATCACTAGATTATGCATTTGGGGTGGCGGTAGCATACTAGCATGCAATTGCGAGGGATGATGGGGCGGTGATTCCGGTAACCCGTATGAATTGAACTGCGGAGAGTCAGGGTCGGCCCCTTTGTGCATGTGCTTAGGCTTCTTGGCCTACACAAGGAGAATGTTATTATCGAATGACGTAGAGTTAGCGAAGCACACACTCGACTTGGGACAGTCCGCACAGCCGGCGCAGGCGTGGTCTCTTTCTCTGGAGCTTTTCTCCTTTTTTTAGGCGGAAGCTGCGTCTTCTTTCCGTTCTTGTCCCCTGCATCTACCCAAGGTGTTGGCACACCTGGACCACTAGTTGGCTGAATGCCGACAGCCCCACTCAAGGCCATCGACATATCAGGCAAAAAATCCTTGAATTCGCTAAGTAATTCTTGGGCATCCTTGAACAAGACCTGCACTTGGACGTATACTTGCGACTATGCTCAAGCGTCAATACACATCAGAGCTAACGCACATGGCACATACATCTTGGATTTGGCGCTGCTCCTTCTGATACGTTTGCAAGATTTCTAGGAACTGCTTGTATGTATCGGGATCGTCAGAATAGCGTGCCTTGATTTTGTTTAGGTACTGTATTGCATGGTTGAATTCCCCTGAAGATTTATTTTCTACTGCGTTTCGGTTGGACAAATTGCCAAGAAAGGAAGCCGCAGCAGTTGTGGAGGGTACTTGAAGGCCTGGGGTGTACGTATCCATAGACTGTGGCATGTGCGGAACCTGATAAGGAGCTATCGATGGTGTCATCGAACGGGTCATTGGCTGGAAGGGAAACGCAGGGCCGGCGGTTGATGGAAGAGGAAGCGAAGACTTGGTTGTAGCGGGGTCACGAGTGACGCGGGAGATCTGCTCGAAGGTGCTTGTGCTTTGAGTGGTGGTCCCTAACGGCGTTGTAACGGTGATAATATTAGGGTCGTGCGGGTCTGCGGACATCTCTATTCTGTAGCCAGGGGGAAGAAATGTGTTGAATCCCTGAATAAGATTTGGATTGCCATGGAATAACATTGACACGCGCTCGATCACTCCAGGTGTGTCGATTCTGTGCAAGAGAAGATCATTAGCAACACGAGGCTGAAAGGCAGAAGAATAGACGATATAAAAGGATGCTTCTCCAACGACAGCCACAACAGGAAAGGCGCGTACGCCGGTGTAGTCCATGCCCTTAGGCGGTAAGATAACCGGACATTTTCCGCCTCCCGAGTCGCACATCCATGTCTACGTCACTAGTATCTAGATTGACTCACGCTTCGCTCTTGAAGTCCTTCATGATGTCTAAAAAGTGGTTGTATACGTCTGGCTTATCCTGAAATTGAACTTTGACCGCATCGAGGTAGCTGAGCGCATCGGTAACGTTAAGTGGTCTGTCTGGAGACCTCTGCGCTGCGGAACCATGGGATGTGCCGTCACTTTCACCAGCGGTGCGAGGACGTGGTGTTCCAGATTTCGGAGTGCGCAAACCCATGTTTGATGAAATGAGAAGTTGTGCGGTACTGGAAAGAGGTTCCAATGAAATATCTCTAGGCGTGTTAGAGATTGGAAGTGGGGTGAGGTCGTCGGGATCGACTTGGAGGGATGGAGAAGGGATGGTAAGCTTTGGTGAAAGGTAGGAAGAGTGTGGTGGTGGTGGTATGGGAAGAAGAGGGACGGTTTGATTGAAGTTCTGTGACGGAGATTGTGGTCTCGAATTAGGTGTGATGAAGGGTGTTTGGGTGTCCATCACTGTTGTTGCCCTTCACAGTAAGTCTGCAGTACGGCACACGGTGACCGAAGGTAAACTCAATACTGCACGTGGGAATCTCCGGAACGGCCAATTCAATTCATTATCTTATCTTATCAACACTTCTACTATCAACTACATCCTTAGGTTCTCTTATTCCTCGTGTTGGTTTGCATGAATCCAGAAGGCCGCAGAAGCTCTTCTCGCGTCTTCGTCACATAATCAATGGCTTCCAGTGTCCCAGGTGCTGGAAAAAAGTATGGCGCTGCGTAAGGCTGTGTCCGTAATGGTGGGTCTGGGATTTTTACAGAACGAGCTTCGGAAGCGAACACCGTTGATTTAATTTTACTAAGACCGGTGGAATAAATCTGACTTACAAAATGACCCCGTAGAATTTCTGCCTTTGAGGTGCGTCGATCTTTGCTTCAGCGAAGTTATTGTCCGACACGAATTAACAGACGGGGAGGCTGGAAGGGTATGTCTCTTGAAAATTCCGTGGGCTTCCGGGACTTCACCGTGACTAGATCGTTGAATGGGCAGTTTCGTTGCAGGTATCAGGGAGGCTGGTAAATCTACATGCACATGGCTTTGTGGTACCGCCCCATCAACCATGCTGCTGCGTATGGTTTCATGTGACCTGGTCGATCGTAGAGAAGATGAAGTCGGCGAAGCAACTGGCCTGGGAACGGGTCGCTTGACGCGACGAGCTATTATTGTCCTTCGTGATTTTTCACCGGCGTCTGGGGGTGGTTTCGACCAAACCCATTGCCAATATGATGGTAGTAGTGTTTGAATGAAGATAGCTAGCACACTCTGATGTCCGGTGAACATGAGTAAGCACGGTAGTCGGAACAGCTGCCACGCACCAGGAGAATCCCGAAACTGGACAGCACCACGCTGACTGTCCTCAGGATGGTTTTCCGGAAATTCATCGAGGCATTGAGGATTATAGCAACATCCTGGACACTGCTCGGGCGTGTAACTTGGAAATGGCACTACATATAACTCTGAAAGTCAAATATATATATACCGATGGATATGTAGCCGATCCGTGGTGGCTGATAGGGATTCGACTAAAGCTGCTGACTACACAGTGACTGATTTACCGGCTTCACGGAGACGTCACTGCAGGGCTCGGGATGGCGGGGGTATGAGCATAAAACAAATGACAAAACGCCAACGGAACGCTAGCATCGTCCGTCGGAAAGGTCCCTTGGTATAAAACACCCCGAAACTTCACTAATTTTTCCCGCTACAGCTTTATCTAGGGTTGGTTAACATTTTGCACTGCCATGGTCGCGTGGGAATATTTGGGCACGTGTTGGTTTCGTAGTTGGTCTTGTCCTATGAACGTCAAAGCTCTTCGTTCAAGTCACTTCTAGTACTCATCTTCTTACCAAAATTCACTCTGACCTCGACAATCAAATTATGCCTCCCCGTGGCAGCGAAGGATTAGATTTTACCCCAATCTTAACACATTATCTTTTCTTGTTTACGACAATTCTTGCGGTGGTACGTATTAAACTCTTCTATTTTTCAATTTTCATACTGAGCGCGTCATGACATAGTTGGCATGGTTCATCGCATTTATCTCGCAATGTATCGTAACTGCTCAATGTTAGTACAGTACCTTGCACTTCATGGTTCCACGCACTAATTTATTTCCTCTAGACCATGAACAATCCGTTGGCGTTGGGTGGTTTGGAATATTCCTCCAATTATTCCTAACCCTTGGCGTATTGCACACCCTAGCAAGCGATTCAATAGCCATGCATCGTTTCCAAATATCAGTTTTCGGTGCTATCGCAATCGTTATGGCTGTCATCACCGTTAGCAACAGTATTTTTACTGGATTGGCCGCACTGGACGCTATGGCTGCGGGATGGCTCATTATTGCAATCGTGGACATCCTTTGGGTGATCTATTTCACATCAGAAGAAGATTCTCTCGCATTCCACCTCTTCAATTCTATGGGCACCGGTGGCCTTACACCACCATCCCGTCGTCGTAGGACTCGGGGTGCGAGCAATATTGGCGCCAATGGCTATACAGCCAACTACTCTCCTGGCGGTGGTGTCGGTTCACATGATATGCCCTATGACAGCGCCGCCAACAAAACAGGCGGTATTGGCGCAGGTCCCGGGGTTCGGAGTCAAAATAGTTTTGTCGGCGGCGCTAGTGTGGACGGTGCACCCCGCAGCCTTGGTCCCGCAGCTGGTGTAGGCAGTGTTCACAGCACACCAAATCCTGCTCCGGTTTCCCTAAGTGGCCCTGATAACAGTATGGGTCCAGGCTCACCCTTGATAGGCCCTGGTGCAGCGGGTGTAGGCGCAGGTGGTGGTACTGGTGGTAGCCCAAATATACCTGAAGCCAACCCGGGCGGGCCAGAGGCATACGTCTACAAAGCAAAAGCATTGTATGCTTGTAAGCCAAGAGCTCTTTCGCTTATCTTCTTTCGCTTATCACTTGCACAGACACAGCCTCTCCAGATGATCCAAACGAAATCTCATTCACTAAGGGTGAGATTCTTGATATCATCGACAAGCAAGGCAAGTGGTGGCAAGCAAAGAAATCAGACGGTACATTAGGAAGTGCGTATTTTTATCTTGCCCTGCTCGCTAGTCCCTTGACCCTAATCCTTGCGTTGCAGTTGCACCGTCGAATTACCTTCAGGTCATCTAATGGACTGAGTTGGGATTTTTGGTTTTTACCTCTTTATGCTACACCTGACGACGATGGTCATGATGCGTGCGTGATACGAGCGTTACGTTCCTTGTAATAGCACTGAAAGTGTGTTGATATTAGGCGGTTCGAGCTATATTATCCACTTCCTTGCTCCACAACCCTTGTGTTTTTTTATTTGCTAGCTTCACTGTCTCAACGATACCACATACCGACCAATGTTTTGCTCTGTTCCTAGCGATGTATATGTTATCAGATTATGCACAATTGATGATATAAGATAGCCTACTTATTCTTGTCTCAAGTCGATAACAATAATCAATCCCTGACGTCATCTGGATTACTACAATAAATTGTCCAGAATTTGAATATGCCAGCGTTATCGATCTCAGCGGAGTCTACCGGGAGAATCTCCATAGAGGTCTCTAAAAGGAACTGTCTCAGTTGCGCAGCGACCACTAGGTGGCTCATTCTTCCTCAGTAATGAGCGCTCACACGGCAACAGGACCAGTCAATCGTCTGGCGAACTTCTTACGACCGAGAAAGCAGGCAACCGCACCCGAGCATAAAAATGTCGCCCAGCTCACAAGAGCGGAGAAATCGATTCAGGTACTGAGTGTCGAGAATGAGGCCTTGAAAAACGCAAACGAGGCTTTGAAGAAGAAATGTGGCGATTTACAAGATCGTCTGCAACAAGTCGAAAAGAAGCTTGAAGTCAAAGACAAAGATGGAGATCTAGGCGTTGACTCGGATGAACAGGAGGTGGACGTAGCAGGCACAGGCGCCCAGGGTGTTGATAAGCGCTGCACAGTCAGCAAAGAAGCGCAGGCGAAATGGGAGCCGTCCTCTCCCTTATCTTTACACCATCAACCCGGGATGTCCAGACATGACCATCGATTGCTTCCTCCGGAGCTGTGGTTGAATATCATTCGCTGGGCGACCTATGCACCGCCGGGTCTTGACGTGCCAAACTTCGAGCCATTCCTTGGATCTCTTGATCATGACAATAAGGGAGAGGCGGATGCTAAGGCTGTCAAGTGCGCAGTGGTTCAAGTGTGTAGGCTTTGGCGAGACCTCGCCCTCAGCATTCTATATGAGGATGTAAAGGTCGGACGTGGGGTACAGTTCCTCGTGGAGGCATTGGGGAAGACATACAGGGGTGAACAGCTTGGAAGATGTGTCCGCCGCCTTGAACTTCCCTACCCTCACACTGGTACTATAACCAACACTAGCTCGGATCTCGCACTGCAAATTCTGCAACATTGCCCGGAATTGGAAACCTTGGTGAGGCCCTTCATGCAGGGACCTCCAGATGCAGTACGCTATGAATTCCCAATTCGCAGCCACTCCTTCTTGAATCTCAAGAGGCTCGAGTGGTGGCACTACAATGATGCCACTCGCTCTGGGGGAATAAACTCGCTTCTAAACGTTTTGCGCCATTCCCCAAATCTCCAGTATCTCATTGTAGGAGGGGAGATGTGGACTTCCGCCCAAACTGGCAATGTGCTGGAGCTCCCCGCATTGAAGACACTTCGTTTGCGACGCATCAATCCTATCTTCGTCCATCAGATCTGCCAGTGGCGGTTACCTTCACTTGTCCATATCGTTGTGGATTTCCCACTAGAACAAAACGCACTCGACACCATATGGCAGGTGTTTGGGGCTCGCCTCTGCACGGTCGAATTCGCAAGGCATGTCGGTTTCTTGCTCAGTGATCAGATCACCCGCTTCCTCCGTGGCTGTCCTCAAGTCAAGACATTCAATTACTTTCTTAACTTCACATCACCACCACCTATTTTCGAACAACAATGCGCGCTTCAATGCATATCTTTGCACGCATTCCCATGTGGCATGGTTACAGACATGATCACTGAAGCTCAAGAGCGCCTCAGGCTACACCTTGCCTTCCTCTCCAGATCATCCTTCCCAGCGTTACGCCACATAATTCTTCATGGTGATTGGGGAGAATTGCGTCTTGATCCTCGCTTCGTGGCATTTGAGCAAACCATGATTTCCAAAGGCTGCTCGATTGAACCCTCCACTGGAGGCACGCATTCTTGCAATCAATCATTAAGCGCCTGATTGTAAGTGCCAGCCAACGGATTGATGTACAATTTTACTCATGCTTTGTCAGCTACAGAGGACTTCTCTAGACGCCTGTATATTCATGGCTGAGATTGCCCTTTTAAAATTCTTCAACATTCGTTCACTTCCTTTCTCACCTATCTTCGAACTACGTACCACGCTGGTGACATTTTTCCTTGGTCGAAATCTGTTTTTGTCTCCTCGTGTCTCCCATTATAGAGTGTACTGTTCCATCATGTGAAAAATTGCAGGGTCCTCAGCTGGATTCTCATAAGATTACGTCTTACTCCACAGTAAATTCGAAGGTTCTGGAGGTGTGTGATCTCGCGTGCGCGGTATATCTATTCTGAGGAGGACTTATGTCTGCCGTGTATCATCATATCTCATATGGTTATTTTCAGTCCAAATTTGGTTGGTGGCGTTGGGTTGCCAACGGCTGGGCCATGCAGAGTTATGGCTGAGTCTGCCAACCAGTCAAAACACCTCAGACACACCTGCGGCTTATCCACAATCTGAGACTAACCCTTTTGACCGAGTGACGTGTGCCCAACGTGTCATCACGGTCACGGTATCGACCGGCATCACTTTTCGTATGCAGGGTCTGGCTGATGCTGGTCTCCAGAGCAGCATTCCCCACGACCTTGATCTTGTCAATCTGTCAACAACTCAATCACCGAAAAGACCGAAACGACTGCATAGTAAGTATGGTTAGCTTCGGCGTGCCGCCGGAGTGTTATCAAGGCATGTGGTATTGCACGCTCAAGAAGATGATAATGAGGCCTAGTAGGGAGCTGTTGCACTGACTCTGAGCAAGTAATTACCAAACTTATGGGACTCGGTATGCGGCCCGGATCAAGATGTCGGAGGGGGCTGAGAGACCCAGGCCTCATTTGTGCAAAGTGCGCACCTTCCTTGAGTATCGATCAGTGTCTTCGCCCTTGCAGCAATATTGGAAGCTTCGATGCGGGCGAGGACAGGAAGATGTTCATGAATTTCCGTAGTATGGAAGGAACAGCTGTCTTCATTTGTCTATAGTCTATCTACTAGGCCCGGGAGAGGCTACGTACTCCCTGAAAGCTGCTGACTTCTCCCTCTATAGAACTAATCGGATGAGCACCCTGAGTTACGCAAAGATGAACGACTCACGTTCTCGGCTTCAGGTGGGCAATTTCATCTAGTGGCCCTTCTCCCTCGTCGGTATCATGGCCATCAAGTGCCCCGAGCCCCGATTCATCTAATATTGCTTCTAATGGATCGACCGCGACGGTGGCGGGATGAGAGAGAGTTCCAGGATTGAATGTATCAGAGCCTATCGGGGGGACATGTTCAGAGTAACGTCGCGCATTCGCGGGATTCAGTGAGTTCTAGTGTAGTTGGCACGGGTTATACATGGTAAGATGGTACGAGTGATTCATGTGACATACCTCTGAAACCGGGCGAGCAGAGATGCTCATTGCTTTCAAGATAACCAAAACGATAACAGAGAAGACGGCACTTGGCAGAAGGAAGACCATAACGCTTGTTTTATGCTAGTTTGTAGGATAAACTTTAAGATGGGATGATTCTCGACCAGCGAGACACTATTAATGCGTGCTATAAAATATGCAAGGAACAGAGAGGTCTGAGTTGGACGCGACTGGTACCGCGTCGAGGTCACGTGACTCTTTATATTATTCAAATATTCACTGCCGATCGGGAAATCGCTCAGACTTGCAGACAGCTTTCTCTGATCAGTACTAAATGTGCGAGGCCGTCCTACTTTACCCAAGACCACTTGCTCGTTATCCAGGACGCCTCCTGCTTCTACCTCTTTTACCTCATCGACCTTCTCTAAAGCCTCTTCCTTCAGAAATATGGTCCCGCATTTTTGTGCAGGCCCTCTTCGAAGATGATCAAGATACCCAATCACACCGCGCGCACAATAATATATGGCGTTCGTGTTTATCATTGGTGCTAGTCTGCAAAGGTTTCAAGGCGAGTAGCTTGAGTTTCCAGAGGGCTTCTTACGTACAAGAAGCTAGCGAGGGACGGAGTGTAGTCGCATATGACTGTAGATGACTGCCTCCATTCATTTCATTCACTCCGTCTCACTATACTAACATGTCTTTGCGGTAGGAAGTTGCAATGCCGCTGTTATATTCTAACGTGTGCTTGCACTCTGTGAATTCCTTGCAAAAGTTTACTGCACACCTTCACTCTGCAGACCGGATGTGGGATTCTATTCGCAGAATTCCTTACTCTACCCCCGGGCGTTGGGTGCAAGTGCTTGATCTTTCGGCAATTCTCGCAGAGCTGGATTTCTCGGCATACTATGCAGTTAACGCACTGTTGACGCAGCTTTTCCCACTGCTGCCGTTCCTCGCAAAGTTGACTTTGTACTCTGGATTTCTGCTGAGCTGTCACGCACTTGCGTCTCTCACACACAGAGATGGAAGCTCCAATATTCGTGCGCTGGGCGGAATTTATTATGATCCCTTCATATATTCCGCAGTGGAAACTGGTGAAGACCATTTCGTTCAGTTGCTGCGGGTATGCGTAAATCTGGAGCTACTTGAGGTCACTGGAATTGGTTTGGATGACACTGATCTCGAGTCACATTTCGATAACGCCGAAAGTCTCAAAACACCAGATATAACTGCCCCACTTTATTTACCGCACCTGCGAAGCCTCACTTTATTATCCATGCCTTCCTCTTTGTTGATGTATGCTCTTTTGCACTCCCCCCTACCACGTTTACGGACACTGTCACTTACTCCGTACGATGAAATTCCCTTTCCGGCATCGCTCTCGTCGGTCTTTCTTGAGACGCACGGGCAGCATCTTCGTAACATCTTTCTCTTCACTCCAAAGTCTTGGCCTACACGCTATCATTCATCACCCAGTACTATACTCAACACATCCCCATATCTCAGGCTCCTCTCTCTGGAATATCCGCTACCAGCACTTACAATTACATTTCAAACGCCATTGACTGGTGTATCATCACCTTGTATCTTTCCCCTCCAGATCTTGTCAATTCCCCGACCAAGCAGTGACTTCTGGGTCACTTTGGAGAGGCTCCTCCCCTTTCTTCCTTCCTTACAAACTATACGTATGCGCGACGTGCGGTGGTTAAGGTATGGAATGACTTCCCGTGCTCAGGAGGCTGGAATACAGGGTGAGATGATAGAATGGGACCGTCGCTTGACTCGTAGAGGCATCCGACTGTTGGACCGAAACTGGAAGGAGTCACAGGCGCGTGAATGTGGAATATCCAAACTCTCTGAGCTAGCTGTCTTTTGATAATATTTTGTATGTTTTCGTGTTTTCTGCTCTCTGCTCCACGTTCTATGCAGCTCTTATCTCTCACCCTTCAATATAAACCTTGACTTTGGGAGATAAAGAATTATATGCCATTTTTTTATGAATATTTTTAAGATATTGAAAGAGACCACACGGTAAATCACCTGAGCAAACTGTTGTTCCTTCCGAGTGGACGTCAAAACATAAAAGCAGCGAATGCCTCATGGCTTCGAAGTACCTAAAATGTCACCCATCTCCTCCACAAATTTCTGATAATCATCTTTCTTCCCAACATTGGGCTGCATGCCCTTCGAAGAACCTTTTTCATTCAAAGAGGCTGCTGCAACTACAGGTACCGGTCCAAATTTATCCATCAATGAGCTCACAAGATCTGGTCGCGAAGCTTGTGCTGGTTCCAAAGATTCTGACCCTGCGTCGAGAGAAGGGGCTGCGTTGACCTTAGATGACGCCATCCCAGTAGCAGGCTTTTTTCGCTTGAGGGATGTCGGAACGAATGCCGTAGCCTCCTTCTTGAAGTCCCGTAATTGAGGCGCGGCCGAAACCGTGGCTGTAGTTGTATTGTTACCAGCAATCCCTAAGAGAACAGCACCAGGGGCTGGCAGAGGTTTTTGGGGAAGTGACGGATGGGGCGTTAGGCGGTTGACACGATGTGCTTGGTACGTTTGATGAGGAATAGAAGAAAGCGGATCTTGCATGGACGAAGCAGACTGTACACGAGGGAAAAACCCGGGAGGTGGGGGAGGCATTTGGGGTTGCATGAACGCGGATACAGGAGGGTATGGTGAGACACCGGGCGGGAAGCTGGGAGGGGAAGTATGTCCAAATGCTGAATGTTGGTGGGGATAAGATGGCGGAAAAGGCGGGGGACCAGGGACAGAATTAACAAACGGAGGAGGTGGTAGCGGCGGTGGGGGATGTGGAGCGCCGCTGAAGGGAATGTTTGGCGGCAATGGTGGTTCTATGAGATTAACTTGAGAATTTAACGTACATTAAACGAAGGAAGGAACGAACCTTGAAGAGTGCTTGGTGGAGGTCCTTCTGGCATCGGAATGTCATCATCGCTATCAACTATGTCATCGTTGTTGCCAGTTGGAGGAGGACCTTCAGGCATAACGATGTCGTCATCTAGACAATGGAAAAGGTGATGTTAAGCAAAAGAACGATATGAAGTAAATTATTTTGCTAACCACCATCAACCTCGTCATCACTGGCTGTCTCGTCAGGCCTCAGAGCTACAATAAGAACATCAGAATTAGTTTACACCGTATATTATTACGGTTGACTTACGTCTCTCCATGTAAGGCATTCCTGGAGGGGGTACTCCATAGGGATTCATGATAGCATCATAGTAGATGCTTCGTTCAGGATGCCGAGGTAAGCCATGTTTATTGAAAACATTTCGTTTCTGCTCGGCAACCGGTTCCTCTTTGTTGACCTCATCCTTGTCTCTACGAACTCGGTAGACAAGTTTACGTTGTTCAGGATGCTCTTGGACGTATTCCTCTTTCTTAGTCATGATTTTGTTTAGCTCTGCCTTGAGTTCTGCCAGGCGATATTTCTCTGCGCCGGAGGGCTCTGCCAATCCCTCAAGCTTCTCGATTTCATCTTGTAGATCTTACACAGTAACAGTGAGTCGAATGCTATAGTAGATGAGAGGGTGAACCAACCTCTTGTGTCCTTCTTGACTAGAGCAAAGTCGCGAGCTTTGGATCTCTCTGCCTTGTTCTACTGCAGTGACAATAATTCCAAAATGTGTTGAGTCCAGATATGATCATCGAAGGGTGTATGCTTGCCTTTTTAAGTTCTTTCTTTCGTTGAGCCTTTCCTGAGGGTAGTGCCATTCACTACGAGACCTGCATGTAGTACATGAGGAGACTCACTGAATGCATCCGCTGGGTTCTGATTTTTTCCTTTTGCCATGGCGGCGTCGGTTAGACTTCTGATGTACTGCGACAGCTTAGTCCTCGCTTGCAAACGGTACCGACACGTGACTCGGATAAGCAGTTTCGGGAGTCATACGGGTCTGACAGATTTCGTTCACTGATCGTGGTGGTCTCTGTCCCACTTGTAGGGAAGAACCCCACGAGATCCACCAATTCTACTCAGTAAACCGACGTTTGTTTCTGCCAGTTTTGCTCCATGACGTCGCAGCTGAGAGCACAGGCGACAGCCCCGAAGCGACCACCGAAGATGGCCTCAAATCAGTCCCTGAACCATCTCTTGAACTTCACACTTCCTCCTAGACAGATTCAACCTCAGATTGTGCCTAGGAGGAGTAAGAAAGCTGTTCATTCAGCCGTGTGGAACAAGGAGAGTGAGTATCGTCTTCTGTATTGGTCATGCTACTTCTTACAGTGTCACAGGGTTCGTGAATGCGCAGTACCGGTTTGTTATGAATCCAAGCGGGGACTATACAGTCCACTTCGCAGATCCAGACATGTAAGGTTTACAAGATGTACCTGGGCCGCTCACACCTCACTGTTGAACTCAGCTTTTTCCAATGGCATGATATATTGCAGGTCATTATTCCACGGTCCTCGGCTTTAGCGTCCGCTACTGTTGTCGGCGGGGAGCGTGCTGTACAGGAGGAGGGGGTCAAGACATGTCCTATCTGTTTATCCCCTCCGACTGCTCCACGAATGACAAAATGCGGGCATGTCAGTAAATGTCTTCTACTACATACCAACGACTGAAGATCATTTCCCAGGTGTATTGTTTTCCTTGCATCTTACATTACTTGAGCATGTCGGACAAACTCAAATGGGCCCGATGTCCGGTCTGCTTCGACACACTCAACGAGAAACAGCTGAAAAGCGTCAAGTGGTACGATGGACCTCAGTTCCAAGAGGACGAGCCTGCTTTTGCCAGTGGCTCCTCGTGTGCCGCAGAGCTTTTGGACCATTATGCGACTCCTCGAGCTGGATCCACAATGCGGATGCGACTGATGCAACGTCCTCAGATGACAACCCTTGCATTACCACGCTCATATACTTGGCCATCGGACCTAATTCCACCTCATCAGGCTCCTTTTCACTTTCTTCCCGATGTGTACGACTATGCCAAATTCATGCTTGCCACTCCTGAATATCTGATCGCCGATCTCTCAAACGATTTGGACGTGCTCGCCGTAGAACGCCGGATGATGGCCAGCATGCAAGATGAACTCAGTATTTCGTTTATTGATGCAGCTGATCATAAGATTCGTCATCAGATTGCCAAAGCAACTGCTTTAGAATCGCCACAGCTCAAGGAAGCCATCGACAGAACTCGCAAGGATTACGACGACATCACACGACGTCACAACCTTGAATGGGCGCGAAAGCTTGCTGGGGAGATGAAAGGAGCTGCACTCCCCGAGGCACCAGAAGAATTTCTCGCCACAGGTTCGAGCTCTGGGATTTTCGTATCTTCGCACACTCCTATGTTGATCCCTGCCACTCCCGAGTCGACACCAGCACAAGCACCCGTTCCAACTGCCCATGCCAATACTTCTAATAATCGTAGTCACAGACAGCGCCGTAACATTAACCCTCCTCCCCCATCTACGCAGACCTACTACTACTACCAAGCAGCGTCTGGCCTGCCCATCTATTTACATCCTCTCGACATCAAGATCCTCTTCTCGCACTTCAACAGCTATGCTTCATTCCCAGACACAATTACAGTCTGTGTAGAATCTGCTACTGAAGGTACTGTCAACGACGACCTGCGCAAGAGGTGCAAGTACCTTGCACATACACCAGAGGGTGCAGATGTTGTTTTCATCGAGGCAGACTTGGAGGGAGTTGTGGATCAGGAGGGCCTTAAGAATTTTGAAGGGGCGATTAAACTCCGTAGGTCAAGGAGGAAGGAGAAAGGTAGAAAGGACGACCGCGCACGTGCGCGAGCGGAGGAACGTGAAAGAGAGAAGGTTATTACGCCGTGGACGGAGTCTGTGTTTTCCGTGCCTCTCGATCCCGTTCTTCATGCTGTGGAAGTTGAGGGGATAGCAAATCATGAGTCCCCCACCCCCCAGATTAGTGGTGCTTGGGGTTCGAGGAGCTTCGCGTCTGCTGCCCACTCTGCATCAGCCGCAGATCTCAGACATCCGAACATAAACAATCGCAATACAAGTCAAGAGATTGGGGACGAGTGGGAATTAGACGCAGCTTGGCACGAACTTGAGCAGCGAAGCACAGGCGGACAAGGGAACAAGAAGAAGAAGGGAAATAAACTTGTCGTCATGGGCAGCGGAGTGGGGGGACGAAGGCGATAGAATTTCTACTGGAACGGTTGAGTCATGATCTATTATCTTCTTTGTAACAATAGCAGCGTCACTTATTTTAATTGTTAAAACGACCCAATGATTATTTACAGGGACCCTAGTCAGCCTTTGCGATGCTTCGTTGAAAATTTGCAAGGATGCACGTGTATGGTAAGATTTGTATTCAATCCTATGTGTGTGCGCCGCAGTGTATCTGTACAAGTCTAAAAATTGGTGAGCCGCAGGCTCAGCGAATCTATCCAAGGGACTCTCCTAAAAGAGGTGCTTTCCTAGAGAGTTATAAATCATCAAACTCTGTCATAATGCTGTCTGGAAACACACGATGCACAATTTTTTTTGCCACTGGCTCGAAAAATGCAGCTGCTTCATGTTGGAGACAAGCTTTTGTCAATAATGTGTAGGAAGAACCTCTTGTGAGTGGTTCTCTGAACCACTGACAGGGTGTGATTATGGACCTAGAGGATGTGACTATATGCTATCTTTGAAAGCATGGCACTGGGGGCAGGAACCAATTTGCCTATGGATCAAATGTTGATTCCAGTGTGGTCTCAAATAAACTTAGGTCACTTTTAGAAAATGTTAACATTTTTGCTTGCATTTTCCTTAGTTACTATCAAATTTTCACATATACCTTCTACTCAGTGGATCTACATATTTTGATTACATCTACCCTGCCATATATTTTTGTTTAAATTTTTCCATGGGGCCAACAAGTCATAAACTTATATTTTGAGTAAATTTCAACTGTAATGAATCTTTATTTAATATTTTTTCATTGGAATCAAGCTAATAATTTTTTGTCTATGAATGTGAGCAACATATTACCTTGATTCTGATCACATTTTAGATACTTTTTAATTTATAACACCCCATGCTCTTCCTATTTCTATGCTTTTGTTCCTCTAATATATAATGAAAAACATAAAGTCAGTTGGTGGAAAACAGTTTGACCAAATGTTAAGATAATGTATTTTTTGCTCTGTAAACAAAAGTTGTATCTCATTGTATTTTCAATTTTGTTGGGAGAGCAAAGCATACATTATCTCAACATTTGGTCAAGCTGTTTTCCACCAATTGACTTTATGTTTTTTTTTATATATCAGAGGAACAAAAACATGGAAGTAGGAAGAACAGGGTGTTATAAATCAAAAACTATCTAGAATGTGATCAGAATCAAGGTAATACTATCCCTTCCACTGCAATCGGCAGCCCCCACAAGTTGGCAGTCATGCAAACATCACTGTAAGTCACAATATGTCACACAGGCTGGTTTCAAAGTCAGCTTGGCAGTCAAGCAAGAGGGCAAGGTCAGGCAGGATTTAGTGTGAGCCAGTGAGCACAGTATTCACTAGTAGATGTGTCTAAGTATGAGAGGGACCATTAGTAGTGTTGTGGTAAAATTGAGGATGTGTAGGGAGACCATATACACTGTATGGATGCTGCTGAGGTTGTCTATGTAAATTCGAGGATGATGCAATAGGACCGCTGGACGGACTAGTATTATGCTGCATTGTAGGATAAGATGGCAGGTAGACAGCTGGATTAGCATAAAATTGATGATTCTGATGAAAATATGGTTGGTTAGATGTAAGGTGCGGAGGATAACTTGAATGCGGCATGGGAGAGTTGAAAAATGATTGCTGGAAGTCACAGGATTTGACGAAGTAGCGCCATTGTCTGCATTATCCTGTGAGGTGCCGCTATTGGCCTGTCCCATTGACGATAGAGCGGCAGGATTCTTCCAACGTGTTTTTCCTGTCTGGAAGAGCACAGAAAAACATGGATTGTCAGCAAAGTGCTGATTTTCAGTGTCAGCAAGAAACTCTCTGATTCTTGCCAAGTTTCTCGACTGTCCCATCTCTCGAAATCTTGAGAGCACCAGCAAGTGTGATAAAATCATCCTTGCACTGAAGTGTCGAGAATGCATCAAATGTCTTTGACTTAATGTCATGTTCAATCTGAGCATGATGCACTTTGTGTTACAGGCATCCGTAACACCTACAAGAGCCCCTGCTCTGCCTACGCCTGCCCCCGCTCTGCTAGACTCCCCGCGCGGCGGTGCGCCGCCCGCGCCTAGAAAGACAGTGGTCTGGACCGCTGTGACCCCGCCCCTGGCGCTATGACCCCGCCCCTGGCCTAGACGGCCTTGTACCTGATCCATGGAGGCTGTACACCTCATGGTCACCCTAGATCAGCGCATGCATACCACATGTTGCTTCATGAAGATCCGGAGCGCTCTTGGCGCTTCCAGTACCTATGCGCAGCTGCCCTTGGTGCAGCATGCTTGATCAGAGGTTAAGCCTCATGTATCTTATCTGAACCTCATGTCTTGCTATCATAGATCATAGATATACTATTGATTACAGACTGAGCTAGAATACTTGTAGTACTTCCCTATAAGTAGACACAGACTATTGTACTTAGACTTTACTTTAATCTACTAGGTTCATCCCCAGAACTTGCTCATCTAAGCCTTACCAGCTTCCTTGTGTGAGACCACACTTCTAAGTCGCCCCCTTACGACTTAGCACGTATCCGCTAGCCCTGCATCTCGACGAGCGCCGTCTTACCGAGATCGCCGGAGGAACCCTTGACGTTCCGTCAAGCTGAGAACCACCCTCAGCTTCAGTAGACTCACTCGAGTCGTCGCTGAGAAGACCTATCCTAGTTCGCACACGCCGACCGACGGTCAGCGTAACACTTT